GTTGGAGGACAAAAACTTTTCCTCCATCCTCTTAAGTTTAGGTAATGGGGGATTTTTTTTTTTAGCAGTGGATAGTGAGAGAGAGAGAGAGAGGAGAGAGACAGAGAGAAAGGTCTTCCTTTTGCCGGCTGGCACGCTGCAGCCGGTGCACTGTGCTGATCTGAAGGCAGGAACCAGGTGCTTCTCCTGGTCTCCCATGCGGGTGCAGGGCCCAAGGACTTGGGCCATCCTCCACTGCCTTCCCGGGCCACAGCAGAGAGCTGGCCTGGAAGAGGGGCAACCGGGACAGAATCCGGTGCACCGACCCTGACTAGAATCCGGGGTGCAGGCGCCGCAAGGCAGATGATTAGCCTATTGAGCCGCGGCGCCGGCCAGTAATGGGGGATTGTAAATTAAACCAACAAAACATAGATACACAAGGGAAAAGGCACATGATTTTCATTAATATTTACACGCAAAGGAGTTGAGAGAAAAGAAGTGGCATTCAAAGAAGTGGTTAGACTTGGGGATTATATTTCCTTTTAGCAAAGGAAAGAGGGTTTGGGCTTCAGTGGATGACTGACAAGGAAATATGTGGGGGAACTTGTGGAAGATAAAGGCTATTTTCATAAGGTCTGTTTATGCAAACATCCTGGTGTTGATTTATCCCCGTCTTGGGTAAGACTTTTAGGTAGATAAGGGGAGGACAGATATGTCTTCCTGCAGCTTTTGATGCTCAATTACCTTTAGCTCAAAATAATCCTTATGCCAATATGCTATATTTGGGGGTTGCATATTCTGATCCCCTTCAAAGACAAGTTGGAGGAGTAATGCATCCATTTTTTAACCTAATATTGAATCTGTTCTTTAAAATGTAAATGTTGGTTGACCATTATCTCGATGAAGAGGCAGGTGACATTGTTGAGTCAATATGAGGACATAATTGAGGCTGTAATTTATACCCAGACTTTTTGGAACCTTGGTTTGCTCTTGTTGTTGTGCTTATCAAAGTAATACCTATACTTGAGTGTGGGGAGGGGGCCTAAGCTGAAATCCAAGTGCATCCAAGTGCATGCATGTCTAGTGGGCTAGCAGCAAGGCCCTAGTGAGTGAGTTGTTTGAACTGAAGGATTTGTGATGGATAAAGAAGGACTATGTTTTGAAGTCTACAGGGCTGTTGGGGGATGTGTGGTAGAGCCCGTATAAATAGGTGCTGAAAGAGCTATTTTCTGAACAGATTCCAAGAAATAGAAGTAGTGTTGCTCTGGGGTACTGTTGAGAAGTTCATTTAGTTAAAAATACTTTATTTGGACAGTTTAATCCACATATCACTCTGTTTTCTTATATACTCTGGTGTGTTTATATACCTAGTTAGCATTTAAAATACATTGTGGATAAGTAGTTTGCATTTGATTGCTTCTTTTATTATAAAAATATTGTTTTTAAGGTTTTTTAAATGGTTTTTAGGTGTGGTTATGTGATCTTTCAGAGCTTCATGCTAATACATCCGTGGATGAAATGATACCATGTTTGGGATTTGCTTCAAAATAAGTTGCTTGGACTGGATATGAAGGGAGAGGGAAAATGGCTGGATTTTTTAGGAGGGAGGTGACAGTCAGGGAGAAGGCAATATAAGGGTCTGGCCATTAGATGGGCAGCATTTTCTGTTGTAGCGAAAAAATAACATGCTCTCAAAAATGTTGTTTAGGGGCAGCCTTTGTGGTATAGCAAGCTAAACTGGGATTGAGTCCTGCCTCTGCTTCCAGTCCAACTTCTGGCTGATGCACCTGGGAGGCAATAAATGAGCATTAGGTAGAGAACCAGTGAATGGAAGAATCATTCTCTCTGTCTCTCTCTCCTCTCTCCTTCTCTGTCTGTCACTCTGCCTTTCAAATAAATGAATATATAAATCTTAAAGAAAAGTGTTACTAATGTACTTTGTGGGGAGCAACTCGGACTATACTGTTACTGGAATTAAGACTTATTCTATGCATCTGCTCTCCCACAATATGGCGCTGGGAGAGAAGAAAACAGCTTCTACACAGCTGCCTCCAGTTCAGCCAATAGACTGTAGGACTTGCTCCTGATTGGAGGAGAGCAGCGTACTCGGCGTGTGGGCAGCCGAGTTGGGATTGGTGGAAGAGGACTATAAAGGAGGAGAGAGACAACATGCACCAGGAACATCTAAGGGGAACATCTAGCTGAAGGAACACCTGTGCAGCCCCCGAGAGAGCCGGCCGGCGGTGTGCCGCTCCCCTGCGGAAGTGGGGAATGTGGCAGGGGGAACCGCCCTTCCACGGAGGTGGAAGGGACAGTAGCCAACCCGGGAAGAACCAGCAGCAAACCCGGGGAGGGCCGAGCAGACGAAAGAACAGCGCAGGGTCCTGTGTCGTTCCTCCACGAAGAGGAGGAGCGACATAATGGTGCCGTGACTCAGATAGGAAACCTAGGACGGATAGGAAACTTAGGAGGGAAGAAACGGGAAGAAGTGGAAAATATCGGAGAGGGGGAGCGACATAATGGTGCCGTGACTCGGATATGAAGCCTAGGCAGGGCTTAGTGTCGTTCCTCCACGAAGAGGGGGAGCGACATACTTGATTAAAATTTTGTGAGTTGAAGGCTTGAAAAAATTAATTTGTTATTTTGTCTTCAGTAAAAACCCAGGGTATGGGTGTTGGGTGCAGCAGTTAAGACTTTACTTGGGCTGCATGAATCCCATGTTGGGAGTGCCTAGGTTTGAGTCAACTCCACTTCCAGTCCAGCTTTCTGCTAACGGGCACTGTTGGAGGCAGCAGGTAATGGCTCAAGAGGTTGGGTCCCTGCCACCCATGTGGGAGACCCAGAGAGAGTTCCTGTTCCTGGCTTTGGCCTGGGTCAGCTCTGGTTATGGTTATTGCAGGTTCACTCTCAGATGAATGAATCAACAAGCAGGTGGGAGATCTTTCTCAGTCTCTGCCTCTCAGATGAGTAAATTAAAACTAAAAAATTAAATTTTATTTGAAATCCCCAGTGGAAGGTCACTAGAAAAGTTCTATTAAACTTTTCCTGTGGATGAAATATCTCAAAGTCAGTGTTGCTTCCATTTACAGGTCACACCATCTCCAGGGACTCTCAAACATTGTTGCCCTTGATCCTTAGTGCAAAAAAAAAAAAAAAAAAAAAAAAAAAATCATTATACAGCACAGCCATACACACACACGCACACACACACAAGTATTCATAACCTTTAGTGAAACAATGATTGTTCTTACAGCTTGTGAAACATACATTGCTGTTTTTTAAATTGCTCATCCCAACCTGGTAAACTGCTCTCAGGACCCAACAATGGGTTACAGTCCACTATTTGCAAAACATTTCTTATTAAAGCCTCTAGCAAGTGTCATTTTTTTTTAAAATAACATGACATAGCATTGTTTCTGAAATGCACTTAGACTATTTCACTTAATCCTGAGTATCATTATTGATTGCATTTTATAGCTGAGAAAACAGACAGGAATGATCGCTCAGGATCACACAACCAGTGGCTATAGGAGTAGGACACCAGGAAAGTGGCAGACCTCAAAAGACAGTGTTCTTATTTAAATTAGGGCAGAGCACCTAAAAATGCCACCTGGGATATCTGCACCCCATATGGAAATGTCTAGTTCGAGTTCCAGCTACTCCACACTCCCAATCCAGCCTCCTGCCAATGCTGGGAAGCAGCAGATGACGTAAGTACCAGCGTTGCTGACACCTTTGTGGGAGACTCAGGTGGAGTTCCTGGCTCCTGGCTTTGGCCTGGCCCAGCCTTGGCTGTTGTGGGCATTTGGCAAGTGAATCAGCAAATGGAAGATCTCTCTCTCTCTCTCTCTCTCTCTCTCTCTCTCTCTGTGTCTTTCTCCCTCAAATAAATACGTAAATCTTTTTTTTTTAAAGGATGCTTTAAAAGAAAAGAGATGATATTCGTTTCAGTTAAGTCATTAGATTTTTTTAAATGTCAGATGTAAAATTAAGAGCATAATTCTTACATTAGTGTGCTTAAAAATGCCTGAGCACAACTGTTCACAGCTGATTAATTCTGCCTGACCAAATGGAGAATCTGTGCAGTGCATTAGACAATCCATATGACCCATTTAAGGGAAATTATTTTGAGGTGACTCTGAAGCTTACTAGAGAATTTTTCTGCTAAGGTTTCTTTTCTTTTCTTTTCTTTCTTTCTTTTTTTTTTTTGACAGGCAGAGTTAGACAGTGTGAGAGAGAGATAGAAAGAAAGGTCTTCCTTCCATTGGTTCACCCCCCAATGGCCGCTGCGGCCGGCATCTGCGCTGATCCGAAGCCAGGAGCCAGGTGCTTCCTCCTGGTCTCCCACGCAGGTGCAGGGCCCAAGCACTTAGGCCATCCTCCACTGCCTTCCCAGGCCACAGCAGAGAGCTGGACTGGAAGAGGAGCAACCAGGACAGAATTTGGCACCCTGACTGGGACTAGAACCCGGTGTGCCGGCACCACAGGCAGAGGATTAGCCTAGTGATCCGTGGCACTGGCCGTCTGCTAAGATTTCTACAATATTTTGGAGTAGATATAATTTGTGAACCAAAACAGTTCATAAAACTAGAAGGCTGATCTGAAGAGATTAAAACACTTACTCTCCCTGTCTTTTCTCTGCTTCAAACTCCAGGGATCATGTTGGTCCAAAAGGTTTTCCGTCACTCATAAAGTATTCTTTCTGTCCAGTGTTGAAATCGTTGTTTGCACTATTAAGAACTAAGCAGAGAAATTCCTCTGAGCTTCAAATGTAGCATTTACTCTTCTAGACAAAGGATAAAACCAGCTAAAGAATTGTCAGCCCAAAGACACAAAGATGAATGATGAACTCTCTACTCAGTCGAGGCAACAGGGGTACGGTAGGCTATGTGCACACAGTGATACATCAGACTGAAATATGAGTTCCTTAAAAAAGAAAATAGAGCAGAGGCTTTTCAGTGTATTCCTGTGACCAGGGACAGACATTAAATAATGGCTTGCTCCAATCCTGGACAATCTAGCTTTCGAAGCATCCCAGGTGAGAAGCTACCCAGTGGAGGATGATGGAAGAGCCATGGAAAGCAGAGGGAACAAGCAGGAGGCAAGGATAAATAACCGCAGGATCAGTCAAACTTTGTTCTTGGTCCTCTCTGACAGATGGAAAGGCTGACAGGTGAGTAATCCCTGGTAGAGAGGTCCCGATGCAGCATGATTAATGTTTACCAAAGACACTGTTGAATCTGAGATACCTCTAGTGAATGCTACAGCATTGCTGTTCTAACAGCGGAGACTGCCAGACTCTTAAAGTATTCTGGCTTCTCTTTCTCAATAATTCTTTCTGGAACCTATGAAAGGGGTGGACATTTAGTGTAGTGGTTAAGATGCCATTTGGGTTGCCCATATCCCACATCAGAGTGCCGTGCTGGTGTCCCAGTTCCTCTACTTCTGATCCAACTTCCTGCTGATGTGCATCCTGAGGGCTAGCAGCAGGTGATGGCTCAAGCAGTTAGATCCATAACACTCACTTGGTAGACTTGGATTGAGTTCCATGCTCTTGGATAATCCTAACCCTAACCCCAACCCCAACCCTAACCCTAACCCTAACCCCAGCTTCAACTTGACCTGGCTCTGGCTCTTGTGGGCATTTGAGGTGTGTATTAGTAGATGAAGATCTCTTTCTGTCTCTGTCTCTGCCTTTCAAGTAACGTAAAAACAAATAAAGATTTAAAAGCTCATGAAATTCAAAGGACTCTGAATCCCAAATATCATGTTTTCAGAACCAAATATCAGAACTTGGAGTCCATCAAAGGTCTGATGTTTCATATTTTAATTTGTATTAGATATTGTGTATGACTATATAACTAAGTGTCACTGGTTATGAATTTAACAAGTCACTTATTAAATAGAATAAAATAATGCAAGTTAGCTACTGTCCTAAAAAATCCAGGATAAACAGCCTTCAGGAAATTAAAATGGCAAAAACTATTACAGATTTGCCTCTATGAAGTTCACTAGACACTATTTCTTTTTTTTTTTTAAAGAAGATTTACTTATTTGCAAGGCAGATTTACAGACAGAGAGGGAGAGAGATCTTCTACCACTGGTCCATTCTCCAAATGCCCATAACAGCCAGGACTGAGCCAGGCTGAAGCCAGGAGCTTCTTCTGGGTTTCCCATGTGGGTGTAGGGACCCTCCTCCGCTGCTTTTCCAGGCACGTTAGCAGGGAGCTGTATCAGAAGTGGAGCAGCCTTAGGGGATGCCGGTGCTGCAGGCTGCAGCTTTAACCCACTGAACCACAGCGCAGGCTTCAGCTAGACACAATTTCTACTACAACTGTAGAGCAATCAAAACAGAATCAAGTACACTGAAAAAATATTTTTTCTTGCTGCCTCTTAAAGCACAGAATCTATGGAGACAAATGTAATTTCTACTTCTTTGATAATTTTCTCTCAAGATTTCTTACAGTGCTTTATATTCTAGAAAATGCTGTTATCTGTTTTTATTTCATGCATTATCTGAGGCTATGGCAAATCTTTACTAGAGAAGGAACAGACTGTTTCAAGTTTAAGCTTGTATTTGAGTTATAACTCTAGAAATCTTACTTCCGTGTAAAGAGAGACACAGCCATCCACAAGTCTATGAGCTGCCCTTATCAATATGTCTATATAATCAATGCATCTGGCTCATCTGGGAAAGTCAACAAGAATCCCAAGAGGCATTCAGGTCTCCTTTTGGAAACCGGAGAACTCAGAGATAATAAACTAGACTGTGATGTCATGGACCAGAAAAGGTACTCTATAGCCCTGAAAGAGTTGGTGGGACTCATTCTTAACGGACTAAGATGGAACCTCTTCGTCACGTGGCTTTGGGTAAGTAGGTTAATCTTGTAGGAATAACTGGCAGGACTTCACTCCTGCAGGTCTGTCTAGTCTTGAACTCCTCTGGATGGGTAATTCTGTTCGTATAATGACCCAGCACCAGTAGGAGCAAATGGGCGAGTACCTTCCCCAGAGAATGCGGTTCTCAGGAAGGGCATTGTATCTGAGGGAGAACCTAGTTCCAGGGCACAAGGAACATGTGAACGTTTTGTGTGAGGGCTAGAAGGTGAATTAATCAGAGAGCCTCTCACCAGCTTTCTGACTTAGAAAATATTGCTGCCACTAGCTAGTGTGCTACTATAAATATTGTTAGAATCATCGTTCTAGTGTTAGCACATTTAATATCACAACTACCCTATGAGGAAGGTAACTTTATCATGTCTATTTTATTGATGAAAAAACTAAAATTTATTAAGTTAAATGAGTCACCTGAGTCATAATGCTATGGTGGAATGAAGACCCTCCACCTAGAATGTCTGTCTACAGACCCTAAGTTCCCTCTTAATCATGATATTGTTGCATATTTCTCCATCCGTATTTATGGTGCGTGTGTGCCTACTACAGTGATATTCAATCTTTGTATTCTGTCATTGACACTGACTTGTTGTATGTGTTCATAGCAACAATACTTCAGGGCCATAAAAACAATTATAAACACGATAAGAAAAAAATAACAGGGTCAAAGAAATGCCAGGCCTATGGTATGGATTAGAGAAATTCCCCTACAGATTCTGCAGGCCTGTGAAGGACTTAATCAGCCCCATGATGGAACACTTCCCTCCAGAGTAGTGATCAATGTTAATAACTGTGGGCAAAAAGGATAATGTTACTTGACCAGAAGTGGCCTACGGGCTGTGGGTCAGACCAAGGGACAAAAATGAGTTCCAGCTTTTTGAAATTAGATTACCAATTTTCTTGGTTGCCAATGTCTATTAACAGACAATTAGAGCCACATCGTGAGAGAAGAGTATTCACTGCCCCATCCTGGTGCTGGGTGTGAGAAGGGATCTCACTGGAGTACGTGGGGTTGGGGCAGATAGCTGGGCACCAGCAGTGTCTCTCCACTTTCACTTCCCTCTGGGAGATGGATGCTCAGAGAAGCAAGATCAGTGACCTTTTGCTATATCCTTTGCATTTCCAGGGACAAAGGTTCCACCTTGTCCTTGAGTGCCACATCTAAGTGTTTTACAGCAACCACAGGAAGGACATTCTATTTTTCTGCCCAAGCATCCTGTTGAGCTTAAATCTATTTCCCTTGGGTGTTCCATTAACACAGAAAAGTGTTTTTGCCCTCCTCAAAGGAGTATCTACTCCTATAGGCAAAATATTATTATCTATTAGCATTTCATAATTTTTTAAGTTTATTTATTGTGGGGCTGGTGTTGTGGCATAGTGGGTAAAACTGTCACCTGCAGTTCCAGCCTCCCATATGGGTGCTGTGGTTTGATTCCTGGATGCTCCACTTCTGATCCAGCTCCCTGTTGATGTGCCTGGGAAAGCAGCAGAGGATGGCTCAAGTGCTTGAGCCCCTGTACCCACATGGGAGACCCAGAAGAAGCTCTTGGCTCCTGGCCTAGCCCTGGTCATTGTGGCCATTTGGGGAGTGAACCAGCGGATGGAAGACCTCTCTGTCACTATCTCCCCCCTCCTCTCACCATCCCCTTCTCCATAACTCTGCCTTTCAAACACATTAAAAAAATCTTTAAAAAATAGTTTATTTACCTTAAAGGCAGAGAGAGAGAGAGAGAGAGAGAGAGAGAGAGAATGTCTTCCATCCTCTGGTTCACTCCCCAAATGCCTTCAATAGCTGAGGCTGGGTCAGCCTGAAGCCCAGAGCACAGAACTCCATCTGAGTCTCCCATGTGGATGGTAGAGGCCCAGGTACTTGGGTTATCATCTGCTCCCAGGATGTGTATTAGCAGGAAACTGGACAGGAAATAGGGGATCTGATCCCAGGCACTCTGATGTGGGATGCAGGCACCCCGAGTGGTAGTTTAACCCTCTGTGCCATGTGCATCATGTATTATTTTTGTTATATTTCTTGGGGATGTCTCTAACCTTCCTGTGTATTTTTTGTTTCATATTAAAATAATTTTAAAAATTATATTGAAATAATACATCTTCAAGGCACAAAATCGAGAAATATGAAAAACCCCAATGAAGAAAAACCTATCATCTCACTTCCCAGAGGTAACAACTGTCTCATTCACCAATGCACAGAGGTGCTTTGTGACCATTTCTCCTGTCACCGTGATCCATCCTTGCTTGCTACAGAGTACAAGTCTGCAAGCCGAGTCTGCTCATGGACCTCACACAGCCCGTGAATTCTCTGAAATTATGTGCAAGATTTTATGTAGATGCGTTTGTGCTTTCTTTCTTCCCAAGAAGAATGTTGAAATTTGTTTTCAATCCAAGAAAGGAGCTGACTGCTGTTATCAGATTCCAAAACTGTGTGTGAGCTGAAAATAGTTAAAAATTTGCATTTAGCATATACTTTCTAATGCTCATATAATCTCGTGTCATAGTAATCACCCTGCTATTATGAATTGTTTGGATATAAACACTTCTATAACTACATCTTTCATCTCCAGTGATTTCGTCAGAGGAAAAAAATCCTGAAATTGAAATTCTCCAGGAATATTCATGATTGAAAGCTTTTAATACAAATTACCCTGTAAAAAGGTAATCTCATTCAGAGACCCATCAGAAGTGTGGGAGAATATCCCTTTCTCACTGGCATTAACACTGTTGTTAGCATTTAAAAAAATTATTTCTCTGAAAGGCAGAGAGACAGAGACAAATAGAGCTATCTCCCATCTGCTGGTCCATTCCCTGAAAGTTTACAACAGCTGCGGCTGGCCCACACCAAAGCCAGGAGCCAGAAACGGGCCATCCATATGGGTGTCCGAGACCTCGCTACTTGTTGCCTCTCCAGGTGCACTTTAGTGAGGAAACTAGAATTGGAAATGGACCTGAGACTCAAACCCAGGCACTCTGATATGAGATACAGACCACTACATAGTGTGTGTGTGTGTGTGTATATATATATAAATTCTAAAATTTATTTATTTATTTTTGAAAGGCAAAGTGACAGAGGGAGAGGTGGAGAAAGAGATCTTTCATCTGCTGGTTCACTGGGACTTGGCCAGGTCGAAGCAAGGAGCCCAGAACTCTTAGCCAAGTCCCCCATGTGGGTGACAGGGGCCCAAGTACTTGGACCATTTTCTGTTGCTTTTCCATGCAGATTAACAAGGAGCTGGATTGGAAGTGGAGCATAGAGCACCTGAGACTCAA